CCTCCTCCCATAGCTCCATTCCCCCGTTCTATACGTCTGCGAGGAGACAGCTCATGAACTCTCCAAGCAACAAACGCACACCTCACGCCACCTCGTCACGCCAAATGGGTACCCACATATATGATCCGGCAACCTTGCGTCATGGCTCCTCCTCAGCCTTCTCATCCTCCTTTCTGATGTTGCCCACAGTGGCAATTCGCAGAGCAAATCCAAACCTGGAGACCGCGCAGATGATTATGGCACGCTTGGAGAACGGAAACATCCTGCTCCTCCACCTCGGCAGAACACATTGCAACTACGAGCCAACTTGGACGATGAATGCTGACCTCATCCAAACTGCTGGCAATGCGTCTGAATCTAACGCAATGTTCATTAATCCCACCGTGGGTTCAGAACACGTGTCATTCGCCCTAGGGTACCTTGGTTCGCTTGGCTCGGCTCTGAATGCTCGAATGGTTACTCAAGGAAGGCAACGCGTTGCAGACCCATATGACACAACACAGAAATTGAGATCTGCATCAATACGCTGCCCTGCAACGCAAAAACTATAGCAGAACCTCGCGAATAGCACCGATGACAGATCTTGACCGCGTTGAAACAAATCCGACACGCAAGCTGATGATCCCCGTTGAGTCACAGGCTAAGGGTCCTGTCAATAATCTCTGGATCCCTTGTTGGTGCAGAAGGTACGCATGTTGGCAAGACCTCCGCGCGACCTGTGGGACTCGCGCCTGGATCGTCCTCGGAGCCCTAGGATTCCCAGAGCTGCGGGGATGCCCAGGCGGTGATGTGTTCACAGCTCGCTCACGGCCCCCCTGCTGATGGCCGCAGCCTCCACGCTGCCTCGTGCAGAGCAGTTTGTCTCTCGGCCCTTCCAGAGACGGACCTCGTGGCTGGCGCTGCCGCTGAGAAGGCGCCCGCCTGTCCCGAAGCGCAGCGCATGGACGGCGTCGGAGTGCCCCCGCAGCGTCTCCAGCACGTCCCACGCTGGGCAGCTGGCGGCGTATATGTTGCTGTCCGAGGCCCCAACGTACAGCAGGCCGGACGAGGGCGAAAACGCGAGAGCCGTCACGACACCAAACTTCGCCGTGGAGGACGTGCTCCGCTGGCTCGCGCCTGCTGTGAGGTCCCAGAGCTGAAGCTGCCACGGCTCCCTGATACCGACTACATTGTAGCCGCTGGTCACCAGCGCCCCGTCAGGCCCCACAGCCAGTGAAACGACGCTGCCGTTGTTCGCGCGCCACATCCGAACCAGAGCCTGCCGCCCCAGGTCCCACACCCTCATGGTCCCATCGTCGCTCGCTGCGACCAAGCCCCCGTCCTCAGTGAACGCGAGCGACTGTATCATGGCGGTGTCGGCCTTTAGCTCGCCGGCCATCGAGATCCTGTCCTCCAGTATCCTGTACCACACGATGGCGCCGCCTTTGTCCCCATGTGCCAACAGTCGCCCCCATGTAGTGAGCGCGGTCACCATGTAGTCACCTTCGAACAGGGTCCAATCCGAGGTGGAGCTTGTACTCAAGGTCCAGATTCTCACCGTTCCGTCCAGGGAAGCAGTGGCCACCCGTGGGGGACCCCCGCCGTCGCTGAGCGCACTGATCCGCCACACCTCGTCGTTGTGGCCGTCCAGCTGATGCATCTGCACGGCGCCAGAGGTGTTCCATGCATACGCGAAGCCGTCAAGGGCCGCAGCGTACAGCAGCCCAGCGGCCTCGTCGGCAGCCACGCCCCAAACCATTCCCCCCGCGAGGGCAGAAAAATGGAGCTCGCATTCCACGGCAGGCAAGACCGTCTCTGCTCCGAGGCTCCCCCACAGAAGGCATGACGCTGCCACCGCGGTCAGAGATGCCGCGCCCGGGACCATCGTGGCTACGCTCGGCCATGGTGGCAACGCGGCCGAAGGCCGCCTTGAGCCATCAGATGGAAGGAAAGCGCTGTCGAGCGTCAACGCAAGGACATCCAGAGTTCCGAGCGTGCACACCGATGCTCGAGGACCGGGAGCGCTCGACAGCTCAGGATCACGTGGCCGTCCAGCGCGGGAGCCGCACCGAAACCACGCGAGGCACCCGCCCGAGACGAGTCTCTGGGAACCGCTGGCATCGCTGGAGCCCAGGGCAATGTTCGCACAGCCTGGAGCACTCGGTGGCCTGCTGGTGATGCGCGGTTTGCCCCGGCAGCGGTTCCTGCCTGTCTCTGAGCAGATCACAAGGATATCATGGGCGCCTCTTGGGGGTCCCAAAACCGTGTGGTGACAGACCCGGCGGTGACCTCGAAATCCCCAAAGACCTCACCGCAGGGTCCGTCACCACACGGTTTTGGGACCCTGGAGGCCCCAGTCGTCCGAGACATCCTCGGAGAACGACCCAAGTCCCAAAACCGTGCGGTGACCCCGAATCCCCACGGACTCACCACACGGTGCGGTCACCACCCCGTTTGGGGGAGCCTCAGGATCGACAATCTCTGCCACCTCACGCAGGACCACCCGGGACGACTCAGGTCTCGCTCCCGTCTCTGTGAGGGGCAGGCATTACAGGGCACGCCTCCCGCGGAACAGCCCACGCCCACGCCTCTGACGCTGCGGGGGGGGAAGCATCAAGGCATCTCGCGGCGCACGACCATCGGCGCTGGAGGACGCGGGATCTGACTACCTACCAGACCACCCCAACCCAACCCGAAGACCCGAATTTCGGGTTGGGGGGGGGTACGGGGTCCATGTGTGTTTTCTCCATGTTCCCCGACCCCCCCCCCCCACTGGAAGTTGAGGGTAACTTGAGGCCTTCGGGTTGGGTTGGGGTGGTTTTGTGGGTGGTGGGGATCGCTCAGATTTGGAAACCGCCAGGGGCGCATGGGCCCGAGTCAGGCCCGGTGTGGGCACGCTTTATTTTACAATCATGGTAGGGGATGATACACTTACCATTTCAAGAGTTTGGTTGGCGCTTGGTAGACCGAGGGTCAGGTTTGAAGCAAGGGTAGTTCCCCAATGTTTTGCAATAGTAACCTCCAGGGGCCGTCTGTGCCCTAACCATCGCCTTGCCACCTCCGACATCGAGACGTTTCGCTGCGTGGTGGTCCTCGGATCGCCCCACCCGATCCCAGGAGCGGTTCTTCGCCAGAATCTCGCCATCGCTCAGACGTCCATTCCCTGTTTTTGTTCGGTTTCGTGCGTGATTTTTCGCCAAATGATTAAGGATGCTCCTCGATGGTCCTCGCCGAAGGAAAAATGCACACGTCCGAGCGATGCCAATGAGTAGAGCAGCAAGGGCCCGAACGCCGCGCAGGCGCTGGTCGTGCGTTTTTTTCCGCGACGCCCGGAGGTCTGGGCGCTCCGTGCCCGACGCGGCCCCGAGGCTCGATTCCTGGATCTGGACGCCCGAAGTGGGTACCGAAACACTGGGCACAAGGCCCAACAACAGATGCTGTCCCAGACCAACAGCGGCCGCTGTTGGGCAGGGGCGGCCTTCTGCCTCGAGTGGACACAGCGCCCGCGGCGGCGCGGACAGCGAGCCCTATTCAAAAGGAACAAGAACTGCTGCTGGGCATCGTATCCATTCCTTCCGTGCCCATCTCGTTCGTGCCGATGGGAGGCAGCATGGATCAACGAACGATGAAGAAATCTATGCATGAACTCCTCGTTGTTTTCAGTACTGAATCCCTGCGTTTTTTAACACATGATCCGCACGCGGAGCATGTATTAAAAACGGCACTGCGATCAGAACCTCTCGAAGGGCCGCGCGGGCTCTCTCCAGGATCGACGCGGAGGGCCCCCTCCCTGGCGCGCAAGGCGCGCCGTGGGGCCGCGCTGGAGGCGCCGCTGGGGCGGTCGCAGCGCCCACCCGAAGAGATCCCGAGCGGACCTCCGACGGTTATTAATGCGGGATGACGATTAATGAAAAAAACGGGAGAGAAAGATCAATAAAAATAGCTTTCTGCTATTTCTGCACCATTTTCTGACTGGAGGAGACCGGTCCAAAAAATAGTTTCCCGGCCCGCGGCCGGCTTTTTCTAATCGTCATCCCGGGCGCCGCCGCGTGAACACGACCCCCGGTCATTTATTAATCGTCATCCTCCATTATCAAGAGGCCTGGGACACACAAATTCGCCGGCCCCACGGGCCAGAGGCGCGCTAAGATCTCCGGCAACTGGTTAACAATATCTCTAGTTCGCGCGCGCGGAGCGGCCCCTGAAGGGGCCCCCGGACGAAAAGTACCCCGGCAAGGTCCCGGGAGGAGCCACAAGAGCACTCCAGGGGAGGGCCATTCTTCGACACCCCTCACGAGGATCGTGGCCTCCGAGGGGGGAGCCGCAATCGACTACCCCCCCTCCCGCCCCAAGAGGCCCCTAAAAGCCCCCCAGGAGGCCCTGGGGGCCCCCAAGACGCTGCCAAGGAGCCCCAAGAGACTCCCAAGAGGTCCCCAAGAGGCCCCCAAGAGGCCCTAAAGAGGGCTCCAGGGCCGGCGGAATGAGCGAAGCGATTAAACAAATAGCCACGAAACAAGATTCTCCATATTTTTCACATTTTGGTGATTTTCGTCTTCCCCCACGCTTCCCATATGTTCGCATATTTTCCTGAGGATCGTCGATTAATTGTGTCTGTGTGTTGTTTGCCCTCCTGATTATAATGATGTTGCTGTTTCTCATTCGACTCTCTCTCTCTCTCCCTCTGCCTCTTCCGGGGAGTGCGTCCAAGAGGGAGGTTCGCAAATCACGGGCAGAGGCATGTGCGCGGACGAGGGGGGGAACCAGGGGACGCATTGAAAGAGCGAGAGAGGGCCATGAAATATGCGGAGGCCCCATGGCCCCAGGCGATTGTATCCCCCTGGTCATCAACCCCCTCTTGGACACCGCAGCGCGGGCTGCCAGAGGCTGCAGCGTGCTCCGGCAGGCCTTCTCCTAAACTGCTTCCCCATTACGTGTGCCCGGAAGCTCTCCAGAAGCTCCTCCGGAAGCTCCCTCCAGGAGCTCCCAGAGCTCATAGAAGAGAGGGCTCTGAGGGCCTCTCCGGCGCTCCGCCATCCAGGCCTTGGACTCCACAGGTCGTCAACCCCCTCTTGGACACCGCAGCGCGGGCTGCCAGAGGTTGCAGCGTGCTCCGGCAGGCCTTCTCCCAACTGCTTCCCCATTACGTGTGCCCGGAAGCTCTCCAGAAGCTCCTCCGGAAGCTCCCTCCAGGAGCTCCCAGAGCTCATAGAAGAGAGGGCTCTGAGGGCCTCTCCGGCGCTCCGCCATCCAGGCTTTGGACTCCACAGGTCGTCAATCCCCCTCTTGGACGCGAGAGGTCTCTCTCCCTTTCGTCCTCTCCCTCTCTGGGACGTGCCCTGCCTGACCTCCCCCCCCCTCCCGGCGGCCAGCCGCCTCCCGCCAGCACGCGCCGAGAGGCCCCGCCCCCCCCTGCCGGCCGCGGCGCCCTCTCCCCCACCCCCGCGCCCCTGGGGTCTCGCACAGCCTTCCCCTGAGCAATTGCGCCGAATGCTCACCCGCGGTGGTGGCAACGCGACTCCGCTTCGCGATCGGTCCTCTCCGATCGGACCCAATCCTCTGACCCCTGCCCTGCCGCCACCCGCCCCACGGTTACTCTGGAGGTCTCCAGAAGTGCCCGGAGGTCTTCAGAGGCCCCCCCTCCTCCTCCTCCTCCTCCTCCTCTTCCTCCTCTTCCTCCTCCTCCTCCTGCTCCTCCTCGTCCTCCTTCCTCCTCCTCCTCCTCCTCATCCTGGAGAGGAGGGGGGCAGGATGGGGAAGAAAAGGAAGCACGAGGACGACGGGGAGGAAGAGGGTGATGCGCCGGAGGAGGAGGAAGAGGAGGAAGAGGGGGGGGAGGAGGGGGAGAAGGAGGAGGAGGAGGAGGAGGAGGAGGAGGAGGAGGAGGAGGAGGAGACCCAGTGTGAAAACAAGAGCCATCAACGATATTGGAATAGACCCTCCCTCCAAGCCATTCCCATTGAGGGAATTGCCTCGTTGGAAGACAACCGTTTGAAGATTCCGAAACATGCCAAAGCATTGTTCCCAGGATTCCAACGCCACGGGTCAACTGTCTGTCGCGTCTTGACGGTCCTGAATTGTGCCAGGACGTTGGGACTTCAGCACCGCGAATCAACCGAACTGTTGCACCCGCACAATCCTGAATCCTTCCCAAACATTATTTCTCAATCCGTGCAACTCTTGCAAACATTTGAATCAAATGAACACGGCGCTAAAACGAGAACCACATGTTCAAAAACACCCGCCCTCAAACCGTTAAACTTTTCCCGTGCTTTCAGCGAATGCGCGCGGCGCTAAGGCGAGAGCCACATTTTGAGAACGACCCGCCCTCCATCTGTGAAGCTCTTGCCAAGTTTAAAGTTTCAGAATCATAAAGTGTGAGAAAACCTCAGGCGAAACGCCCGGCCCGCCCTAAAAACTGGCCTTGGGGTGTGGTAAGAAGAAATGATCTATAAGGAAAAGACATGGAGAGGGAAGAGGGAAGAGAAAGAGGAGGAGGTATGAAGAACCTTCTCCTCCTCCTCCTCCTCCCTGTCTTCCTTCTCCTGTTCCTCCCCTGTCTCGTCCATCACAGATCCTCCCAATTGTTTTCTCTCGTACCCCTCCGCCTCCTCCACATACTCCTCCCGCCCCCTCCCCCCAGAAGCCCTTAGAAGCTCCGGGAACCTCCCAGAGGAGCCCCCTCAAAAACTTCCTCTTCATCTCCTGGTCATCTTCCCCATCCCCTCCGCCTCGTACTCCTCCCTCCTCTCATCTCGCACCTGCTCATCTCCGCCGCCTTCTGTCCCTCGCCGCCCTCGCACCATCCTCCCCCCTCATCCCCCTCGTCCTCCCCCAAGTCCAGAACCCCCTGGAATACCCCGCACCATCCCTGCACCCCTCCCGAACTATCCTCCCCCGCCTCCGCGCAACTTCAGCCCCGCCTCCCACTCTTCCCCACCACTCCGCGGACTCCCCGCGTCTTCATGTGGATCATCCTTTTCTCTCATCCGCCAGTGTAAGCGGCGATCAGTGGGCGGCGGGAGGTCCTCGTCGTCGATTGGTTCGCGGGTCATGACTAGGGCCTCTCGCGGCCGTTCGGGACCATCCGGGCACCCCCGGACGCCGCTGGGCGAGGCGCAGCTGCGAGAGGGCGCCCCGGGGCAACAAAAACCTGCCGGAGCCTGCGAAAACGCAAGCAAGTGAAGGACCGTCACACGCGTTCCCCCTGACCCCCCCCCTGACGTTACCCCTGACCTTACCAGCCTCGAACGTATCCCTATCCCTAAGATTGACACGCCAAAAGGGGATGACAATCTTAGGGATTCGCCCTCAAAGAATAAGGGAATCCCTAAGATTGGCATCGTGATGAGGAGGTGCCCAGCATAGGGATAGGGATATGTTCCAGGCTGGTAATGACCGAGCGCGCCCCCCATGGGAGGCCGAGGACCGCGGGAGCCCAAGGCCACTCGGGGTCTCAGAGACCGCCCCGCCTGCGCTCCCCGCGCCGCAGCCCGAGCAGAGGCTGCAGACCTCCTCCTCGTCCTCCTTTCTTCTCTCTTCCCTCGTCGTTGTCGACGTCGTCGTCGTCGTCGTCGTCGTCGTCGTCGTCGTCGTCGTCGTCGTCGTCGCTGTCGTCCTTTGTCGTCCTCGTCACGTCCTCCTCCTGCGTCCTGGTCGCCCCCCTGCCCCTGCTGCTGCCGTTCGGGGAGACCGAAACGTACCCATACCGCCACTCCCCGGACCTCTCCTGGGGCGCGTTCTTGCCGGCATCTCGAGGCGGATCCGGAGGTGTCCACGAGGGCCTCCCAGGAGAGCGAAACAGGGCAAAACGGGCGACGGGCAGCGGTATGAATACCTTTTCCTCCTCTGAGCCTTCGGGTAGGGGATCGACTGCATAATAATTAGATTTACCCCGCAATTGCGCGTTCGTCGAGTCTACGAACAAAAAAAACCCTAGAACGCTCAGTAGATCTACGGAGCATTCTACGAATTCGTTCGTAGACTCGACGGGAAAAGCAAGTCTGGGGTAGACCGATGCTGCAGTCGATCCCCTACTCGAAGCCGTAACGCCGCGAGTACCCGCCCACAGGGTGCACAGGAACGTCCAGCAACCCTGAAGAACACTGGGGTACCCTCCACGAGCCGACCTCGATCTGATACCTCGGTGCGACCGTATCTTCTCCCCCTCTAATCTGAGCCTTATCGCCGCGGCGCCCTTTCGGCTTGCTTAGGTCGGTCATGTCCTCCCACAGGCGGAGTTTGGAAGACAGATCAAAAGAGTCAAACAAGCACGAACACATAGTCCAAAGAGCACGACACATCGCCACCTGACCATTGTTCTAACTACTCTTGAACAACATTCCTCCTGCAGAAGGACATGCCCGAATAAATCTTAACGCCGCGAAGCCCTCCGCGACTTGCGCTCGTCCACTTCAGCAGGGACCGACCGTTCCGGCATTCCTATGGACCTACCACGAGATGTTCTTAGAGCCAACAGAAAACTTAGAACAACGAACACACTGTTCTGTAGAACGTGATCCCGATGGGTTAACCACAAGACAGTCCAATACAGACATGTTCTAAGAACACTTCGCGCAGACCACCACAAAAGGCTCGTATCATATTCTTTGGTGGGCCTGTAGGCGAGTCAGGACGCTTCGCCACTGCATGAATAGACGCCCGAAATGGGTAAGGGAAAAGTTCAAGAGGGGAAACACACACAGACACAATGAATCGTCGATCCCTAGGACCATATATGAAAATATGGGAATTGGGCGGGAAGACAAAAACCCAGAAAATATTGGAACATATGGAAAGCCTTTTTATTTGTGTATTTATTTGTGTGTCCTTGGGCCCCTTGAAAAATGGTCACAGTGCCCAACAACACCACAAGTTGTCCAACACAGGCAGGCGGCCGCTGTTGGGCCGGCGGCCTCCTCTCCCAGATGGAGACAGCTCCCGCGGCGGCGAGGACAACGAGTCCTGCTCAAAATGAGCAGGAACGTCTGTTGGTCGGGGGCGCGCAAAACATGGATTAGCGATCCATGGATGTGGCGCGCGGTCGCCAAATCCATGGATCGGGGGAGGTGCCCTCCCCAAAGCGCGGCTGGTGGCGCCTCGTTCGGCGGCGGCAAACAGCGATCCGCTATGGAAGCGGGACTCGTCGCTAATCCACAGGGGGGGGCTAAAGCAAGCGCGCAAGCCGCTGCTGCCGCTGCTCTTTCGGCCATCTGGGGGCCCATCTGTGCCCGCACCAAAGGTCAGTCACTCCTGCGACAGGTCACTCTTACGCCTAGTCTAGGGGGCCACATGCGAAGCCGACCCCTGCCCCCCGCGATTTCCGAGGGGGAGGGTGGGGTTCACTTCGTTCTGGAGCTCCCGAGCGACGTGACCCCCCCCCCAAAAAAAGGAAGGGGCCCTGGGACACACAAATAAATACACACAAATGAAAAGGCTTCCCATATGTTCCCCTATTTTCTGGGTTTTTGTCTTCCCCCACACCTCCCGTATTTTTCCATACTTTCTGGTGAATCGACGATTAATTGTGTATGTGTGTTTTCCCCCTCTTGAACTTTTCCCGTACCCATTTCGGGCGTCCAGTGGCGAAGCGTCCTGGCTCGCCTACAGGCCCACCAAAGAATATGATACGAGCCTTTTGTGGTGGTCTGCGCGAAGTGTTCTCAGAACATGTCTGCCTGGGACTGTCCTGTGTGAACCCATCGGGATCACGTTCTACAGAACAGTGCGTTCGTTATTCGAAGTGTTTTGTTGGTTCTACGAACATCTCGTGGTAGGTCCATGGGAATGTCGACATGCTCCCCCGCGCCGCCGCCCGAGCGGCGGCGGCACACGCCGCGCCTCCAGGCCGCTACAGGCGGTGCCCGCCGCGCCGGCGCCGCCGGCGACAGCGGCGCTCCGCTCGGCCGCCTCTCGGGAGGGGAGCGCCGGGGGCGGCCGCGGCGGCGGCGGCCGCGGCGGCGGCGGGCTCTGATAGGCGGGGCTCCTCCTCCTCCTCCTCCTCCTCCTCCCCTCCTCTCCTCCT